ATTGATTCACAATCTTTTCTATAGTACTAAATCATTTGGCCAAACACTACATAAATACAATATTTTTCCAAGCTAAACTATATCCCAAAGAGAGAAAGAGAGAGAGAATATTAGGCATAGCAGTAAAAATACAGTGTTCTTTTTTTTCTTTAGTATTTAGGCTTTGGAGAGAACACAGGAGAGTGATATTTAAAAATAATTGTGATGGTTAGTGGTTTCCTCAGAGGAAATGAAAATAGAAAGTCACGGTGTTTATTAGCTACCATTAAACATTAAACATTTGTTAAGTTGATCAAACTTTTCATCTTATCTCAATTAAAACTAATTCCCTGACAAAGCAAAATTTATTTGAACAACCAGACATGTGCATGCAAAGTTACTGAAAAATTACAGCATGGGCCACATAGGCAAACAATATTACAAGAAGAGAATAACAATTAACATTTCGAGCCACTTTATTTTTAAGATTTTTTTTTATTTCAGCATATTATGGGGGTACAGATTTTAAGGTTTCAATAAATGCCCATTTCCCCCACCCCCCCACAAGTCTGAGTCTCCAGCATGACCATCCCCCAGATGGTGCACATCTCACTCATTATATATGTATATACCCACGCCCCTCCCACCTGCCCAATACCCTATTACTGTAGTACCTATGTGTCCACTTAGGTGCTGTTGGAGTTAATACCAATTTGCTGGTGAGTACATGTGGTGCTTGTTTTTCCATTCTTGGGAAACTTCACTTAATAGTATGGGTTCCAGCTCTAACCAGGAAAATATAAGATGTGCTATATCACCATTGTTTCTTAGAGCTGAATAGTACTCCATGGTATACATATACCACATTTTATTAATCCATTCTTGGATTGATGGGCACTTGGGCTGTTTCCACAGCCTTGCAATTATGAATTGTGCTGCTATAAACATTCGAGTGCAGGTGTCTTTTTTGTAGAGTGTCATTGGATCATTTGGGTAGATGCCCAGCAATGGGATTGCTGGATCAAATGGTAGATTCACTTGTATCGCTTTAAGGTATCTCCATATTGCTTCCCACAGAGGTTGAACTAGTTTGCAGTCCCACCAGCAGTGTAGGAGTGTTCCTCTCTCTCCGCATCCACGCCAGCATTTATTGTTTGGAGACTTTTTGATAAAGGCCATTCTCACTGGAGTTAAGTGATATCTCATTGTGGTTTTGATTTGCATTTCCCTGATGATTAGAGATGTTGAGCATTTTTTCATATGTTTGTTGGCCATTCTTCTGTCTTCTTTAGAAAAGTTTCTGTTCAAGTCCTTTGCCCACTTTTTAATAGGGTTATTTGATTTTTTCTTCCTGATTTTCATGACTTCTAAGTATATTCTAGTTATCAGTCCCTTATCAGATGCATAGGATGCAAAAATTTTCTCTCATTCTGTAGGTTGTCTGTTTACTTTCATGACTATTTCTTTGGCTGTGCAGAAGCTTTGTACTTAGATCATGTCCTATTTATTTATTTTTGTTGCTGCTGTGATTGCCTTTGGGGACTTCTTCATAAATTCTTTGCCTAGGCCGATGTCTAGGAGAGTATTTCCAACTTTTTCCTCTAGAATTCTAATAGTTTCATACCTTAGGTTTAAGTCTGTTATCCAGTGTGAGTTGATTTTTGTGAAAGGTGAAAGATGTGGGTCCTGCTTTAGCCTTCTACAGGTGGCGATCCAGTTTTCCCAGCACCATTTATTGAAAAGGGATTCTTTTCCCCAGCGTATGTTTTTCTCTGCTTTGTCAAAGATTAGATGGCCATATGAGGAAGGTTTTATATTAGGATTGTCACATCTGTTCCACTGGTCAATATTCCTATTTTTGTGCCAATACTATATTGATTTAATTACTACAGCTTTGATAGTTTGATAGATACTACAGTTTGATATGTGGCATATTAATGCCTCCCATTTTGTTTTTGTTGCCTAGAATTGCTTTTGATATTCGGGGTCTTCTTTGGTTCCATACAAAGCATAAAATTATTTTTTCTATATCTGTGAAGAATGCTGATGGGATTTTAATAGGTATTGCA